GCTCGCATGTGTAGAAATACTTGTTCTGGTAGATCACGTTTTATTTCAATATTCCACGGATTGCGTGCTCGTGGAGAAACCATCATTCGCCTGTGTATACCTTTTAGCCACAAAAGTACTTCTGAACAAATCATAGGCCATGCAGGAGCACTAGACTTTAACACTTTTTGCATTCTGCCAACTCCGGTTTCATACCTACGGTAAGTACATAGCAACTGTTACTTTGCTTCCTCAAGGAAGCTGTAATAATCAGGTATAGAATCCCGTAAACAGCTAAACTGATCCGCAGAAATCTTAATAACTTCGTCCAGGGTACGAACAGATACTTGCTTTGTTTCGGTGTCTTCTTCGATAGCAACTTCGTCTAATACTTCGTCTACAGTAAAAAATACAGAGGAAGCCATTTTGTTTATTTGTAATACTAATACGTACAACCGCTGGTCACCTCATTTCGATTATCGCGGTCCGTTAATGAGCCTTTTTCGCCGGAAGCTGACCCGACTTGCATGAAAGCTTTTAGAAACTCTTTATAAGATTTTTCAACGTCAGGTTTTGATACTGTAGTATAGATGACCATGTTTGATTATTTAATTCATTAACAAAGGATTCTCGTGCTGCATGAGGCATTGTTCGAGTTTTACTTAGCTTACTACCGTTTTTAACTTGATTTTGGTTATAATCTAGACATATTTGGAATACTGGTAGGTGATCCGATAAATCGTTAAATAATATTCCACTAATTTGTTGTTGATAGCTAACTTGATTGCAAAATATATTGTCAATTAAGGTTGCTGTATGCTCAGTTAATCTCGTTGGTTTAGTTATAAGGGGGAGAAACGCAGAGGAGGTTAGTTGGTTGAAAAATCTGTTTACAAAAGAACAGTTTTCATACTTGAGTAAATCGATGTTAAAATCCCCATTAGATAGCAAGGTTTATTTTCTCTATCTACTTTCGATAGGATTTCACTTAAAGCTTTTTCAAATTCATCATATTTGCTATTGGATGGTCGATAAAAATTCCGACTATAACATTAGGGCTATTATGGTTTAGGATTTCAATAAATAAAAATTCTACACTGTGTTTCCCGGTTGTTATACCATTGATATTATCACGGATTTTAAATTCAATGTGATCTCTTATAAATGCGCAAATTTCGCCGCCAGATTTATCAGTTTTCCTGTTTAATTAAGTAAATACTGCTATATCCTGGTCATAGGCGTACCGGCCGGGGAAGCGGGGGGGGGGCGGTAGCCCCCCCAGTTTTTTGGGCAGTCGGGCAATATTCGATCAACAGTCGGGCAATTTTGGTTTGCAATAAAAAAAATGGGACAAATTCAGTCAATTTTGTCTAAAATTAAGTCAATTTTTTTGCAAATTATGTGATTTTTCGAGGGGGAGGGTCGCCAAAAATAATTTTTCCGGGAAAAATGTTTTGGTACTAGTCGGGCAGAATCCCGAAAAGTCGGGCGATTTTCTTTCCGCCCCTCTAATTTTTTCCTTCCGGTACGCCCATGATCCTGGTATGTCATAGTTTATGTCAATCTTGTCTTTAAGCCAAGTTTCTATAAGGGCTTTTAGTGAAAATTTCAATTTCAGTATATTTAGAAAAGTTTGAAGAGAGTCGACTTTATTCTTTAAGCTTCTTATGTTTAGGTGCAGTAGTGATAAGTTATTTTAAGCTATATTTTTAGTTTCTATCAAGTTAGTAAATGCATTGGTGGTAATGGACAAAATTACAATGGTTCACAATGGACAAAATGGCGGACGGTCACATTGTAGTATGTTTTGCTACCGGAAAATGATATATATAACCACCGTTGCGACCATCTAACTAATACAGCGTAAAAAACACCACTTCAAAGCTTTTATCGTTATATTTTTGGTCCTTTTTATTCAGGAGCAGTTTTACGTTTATAAATTAGCTCAATTATATGTTTATCTTGTATTTTAGGTTTTATATCTATGGTTTTATTTATACAGCCCACGATGTGGCATCCAATATTAATGGTGTGGACGCGTGTTATAATTGGAGAGTGGTACTAGTGCTGCAGGAACAAAATAACACATTTTATAGTGTTTTATAACAGAATATAAAGTCTTTCATCCTCGTGGTCTTTAATATATTTAATATACAGTCTGATAGTCATAGTGTATTATCTGTGTATATTGTGAAATCATTTGAAGAAATGTATAGATTTGGAAAGAAGTTCAAACAACTTTTGTTACTCTACAAAATCTAGTGTTGATCATAAAAGGAAGTTTCCAACCAAACAATCGGTATGAAAATTTTTGTATTGTTGATATATTTTATTATTAGGCCAACGAAATTGATATCATGTTTCTCGTCCACAATTTTCAAAAATTTGGAGCGGGATTTTTTTCATTATTTTTTGTATTAGAATTCTGCTTGTCAATAATTTCCTTGACCCAGTAAAAACCCCCATAAAAATCTGAAGTAAATCGGTGTATAATTAATTTTAATTTAATACGTCCTACACTACAGTATATTTCTACACATACCAGGGCTGACATGAAAAATAGAAGCACTCTGGCGAGTAATATCTTTAGAAAGATACAATTTGAGTTGCGCTTGCGGAATGCAGCAATAAGACTTTCATCTGGAGATCAATTTGGTGTTTTGTTAAGCCCATTTTTCAAAAATAATGAATGAAAAATTTTCGGGGGGCAGATAAATATCCCATGCGGGCAGGGACGAGAAACATGATATCAATTTTCATTGGCCTTACTGCGATTTTCAGTTGAGCTTAGAGACAGGAAGTTTAGCTACATAGTTTAATCGTTGAAACTTACAAGTTACCAAAGACAAATTCCAATGTTGTCTAGCGAAAATGAGAATGTTTCATGAGAGATTTAAGGACTTTCCCCCAATCACAGCAAAGGAATTTGAATCTGTTCGCTATGATTGTTCGAAAGTGCTTAGACAACGTGCTCAGATTACATCACAAATGTTGCTCTCTAAACGGAAAAACTTTGCCGATCTAAGCTCAACTGCAAATTGCATAATTTATTCAATTGAATTTATTGTTTTGATTCGCTGATAGCCGTAAGCGAATTTGTCATCAAATCAATAGCAATTATATGGAGGGGTGACCTATATTGAGGGTGACCTATTAATCAATGCTCTTATGTCATAATGTTGGTTTTCAGACATATATTAATCAACGCTCTGACGTCATGCTAATGACGACAATGACGTAGCGACTGTGGAAGGTGTGAAGAGCAACGTGCATCAATTTGTTCTACAACCGGCTAGTGTTTTATCTTTTAAATAAATAATAAAACAATTATTGAATCTCCCCCCCCCCTAATATATGAATTACTCCGATTGGCAGGGCAATTAAGGATTTTGCAGGGCAACAAAATTGCAGGCATCATAGATTTTTGCAGGACAATTATGCCAAACACCCCCCCCCTCAACTAAACAGCCCCTGGTTGTTCCAATTTCGCCCCTGGTTGTGCCAATAGCATAGGATAATAGCATATGTATACTGTAGTCTCATTGTCTGAAGTCTGTGCCAGAAAAAAGAGATACAGGTATATTGCCCAAATTTCCTCAAAAAAATTGATGATTCATCAAGTCTTGGGGTCTGCAGCCCCATCCCAGTCTTGTATGCTTACGACACCTATATATCCACATATAAATTTTGCTTTGACAAGTACTGTAAGTGTATTCTAAATAAGAAATGGATCTGTAGTTATAATTATGATACTATTGCAACAACAAAAAAACTTTCATGAATTTGTTTCATAGGACCAAAATGATGATAATGAACAGAAAGAAGAATATGTTTCTCAGGATATTTTTAACTTGCAGAGACAGGTACAGTAACTACTGTAATTTATATTAACAAAATATATATTAACAAAATTTTATTTCAGTTAATCTTGCTGATGCAATAATTTTAAATTAAAAATTTGTCAAATAAATAAAGCATGAATTTGACTTTGTTGAAAACCTTCAGCTATTTATAGCTTGTAAACAAGTAAAGTTTTCCCACCAATGTAATATTGGTTGCTGACGTTTTTGCCTGGCATACATCTCATTCTGCCTAGCTGGACTCATGCATGCTAATGGACAAATGCACCATACTTTAATATTTTACTTTGCCTGATACCAGACAATTTTATACACAGAGAGAGTTGCAAATTAATGAATGAATATATTTTTACATGAACCTTAGCCTGCATGGCAGGCGGGACTTAGGAAATACCGCCTGCCGCAAAACTGGGTGTAAATGAACTACCGCCCCTGAAGCATCAACGCTATTTATAGATGCATTAATTAAGTAAATATTCAAAATTAGCCACTCCCAAGCTGCTCCGAAGTCCCAATGCCCAACATGAAATAAATTCTTTGATTCTCATCACCGCCCGACTGAATTTTAAAATCCTCGTGAAAACGTTTTATATTTCGTTATACAATATAATTGTACCGCCCGACAAAATAATTCAAGACAGTTAATTTTTTTATATTTTATATAGAGTTTTTATTGCCATTTTAAACTTCCAATTTGAAACAAACAGAATTTTGAATGAAATTTCTTGTATTTTAAAGAAACTCAGTCATTCTGTCATTGTTCGGGGAGATACGAACTATTGATATATAAATTATATAAATATAAAATATAAAAAATAAATCTCCCACTGTCTTCGACATTTCAAAGTGTAGACTGTGTCTAGTGATGAGAAAATCAAGGAATTTATTTTATGTGTTAATATTAACCAAGCTAGATAAAACAAGATGTATACTATAGATTCATCATCAGTCAACAACCAAACTGAAAGTTTTGAACCTTATAGAACGATAGTTTTTATTTGTCTACAACTATACATATTCAACGGGTATATATAAAGAGTTTAACTGTTATTTGATAATTACTTCATCAACCGGCCCCTTGTTTATACTTTGGAGGTTCGTATATAATATCTATCAAGTATCTTTGGTTCAGAACATGATAGGCCTATATGAAAATCCCACTGTTCGATTCAGTGAAGAAATATCTCCTAATTTCTATCGAGAGTTTTAGTAAAATGTCAACATTACTGCGATTTATGGCTTTTGAAAGTCAAGCGAGATCGTATATCATCAAATTAATACGCATGTAATTGTCTGCACGAAAATATAGACTAGCCCATACCTTTCGCCGATCATAACTTCGGCCCCTTCGGACGTATCTTCTTTGTTAAATATTCCTGTTCGAATCTCTATCGAAAACACTATTTAGAGTGTTATTTTTCAGCTTGTATCTTTTAATTTGCTTCTTTTATTATGTTATCCCATTTCTGGTCTGACCTGACGTGAACTAATTTCAAAACGCAGAGTTTCAAAACGTCAAAACATTTGGTTAATGATTAAAATTTAACCGAATTTAGCCGTTGATTGACAACTACATAAAAATACTAACCAATCCGTTTTTCCCGTTTACCAGCGGACGGGTAATTTAAAAACCCCTAGTTTTGCGGCAGACGGTATTTCCTTTGCCTCCCTAATTTTCGCTGCCTGTAGAAATACCGCCTGCCGCGCAGGCTACATGAACCTTGGACACCTACTTTTATAGAGATTTGGGAGTGGTCATTATTTATGGGGAGGGGGGAGGGGGTGGGAAATGGTGAAAATAAGGATTGAAAACTTTTTTGAGCCCCCCCCCCCCTCCAGACTGAAGGCAAACTTTTTGTGCCTCCCTCCTCATAAAAGTAGAAACTTTTCTGACCCCCCCCCCAGCGTGGATTGAAAAATTAACAGCAATGAAACAGGTGTCTGTTGCTGGTAAAGTTAGATATTAGGACAATCTGTTTAATCTAGCTCATGATGCTTTACCCTGGTGAAAATGATTCAACCACATGTCCTTAAAAATATATATTATGTATTACTACTTTACAATGCAACATTTGTCCTACCACAACCCTAACCCATGACCCGTCTTCATACAGCGAAACGATTTGAACACAGGGTTTTTTTAAGACCTTGTCTGGGGGGTGGGCATCTACAAAAAGGTACCATACTATATTGAGTGTGGAGAGATGACAGATGGTTGTTGGTGACAAAAAGTTTGGTGTGATATCGTATGTACTAGTAGGGGGGTCTGGGGGTCTGGTTAGACACATATATCTAAGTGAGCATGAGGGTGTAGTTTAGTATTGGACATACCACTACAGAATCTAGAAATAGAAAGTATACCGGTTTTCGGTATATATAACCAAGGTCATATAAATACTTGATTAGAGACATATATCTAGGTGAGGATGAGGGTGTAGTTTCGTATGGACATACCACTACAGAATCTAGAAATAGAAAGTATACCTATTTTCGGTATATATAACCATGGTCATATAACAACTTGATTAGAGACAAATATCTAGGTAAAGATGAGGGTGTAGTTTAGTATGGGCATACCACTACAGAATCTAGAAATAGAAAGTGCCCGATTTTTGGTATATATAACCATGGTCATGTAAATACTCGATCAGAGACATATATCTAGGTGAGCATGAGGGTGTAGTTTCGTATGGACATACCACAGCAGAATCTAGAAATAGAAAGTATACCGGTTTTCGGTATATATAACCATGTTCATATAAATAGTCGAGTATAGACAAATATGTCGGTGAGCATGACGGTGTAGTTTCGTATGTGCATACCACTACAGAGTCCGATAAATAGAAAGTATACCGGTTTTCAGTATGTATAACCATGGTCGTATAATTACTTGATTAGAGACATATATCTAGGTGAGCATGAGGGTGGAGTTTCGTATGGACATACCACTGCAGAATCTAGAAATAGAAAGTATAACGGTTTTCGGTATATATAACCATGGTCATTCAAAAACCTGATTAGAGACAAATATCTAGGTGAGCATGAGGGTGTAGTTTAGTATGGGACATACCACTACAGAATCTAGAAATAGAAAGTATACCGGTTTTCGGTATATATAACCATGGTCATATAACTACTTGATTAGAGACAAATATCTAGGTGAAGATGAGGGTGTAGTTTAGTATTGGACATACCACTACAGAATCTAGAAATAGAAAGTATACCAGTTTTCGGTATATATAACCATGGTCATAAAAATACTTGATTAGAGACAATTAAATATCTAGTGACGATGAGGGTGTAGTTTCGTATGGACATACCACTACAGAATCTAGAAATAGAAAGTATACCGATTTTCGGTATATATAACCATGGTCGTATAAATACTTGATTAGAGAGAAATATCTAGGTGAGCAAGATGGTGTAGTTTAGTATGGACATACCACTACAGAATCTAGAAATAGAAAGTATACCGATTTTTGGTATATATAACCAGGGGCATGTAAATACTCGATTAGAGACATATATCTAGCTGAGCATGAGGGTGTAGTTTCGTATGGACATACCACTACAGAGTCTAGAAATAGAAAGTATACCGGTTTTCGGTATGTATAACCATGGTCGTATAATTACTTGATTAGAGACATATATCTAGGTGAGCATGGGGATGTAGTTTAGTATCCACATACCAATACAGAATCTAGAAATAGAAAGTATACCGGTTTTCGGTATATATAACCATGGTCATACAAATACTCGATTAGAGACATAAATCTAGGTGATGATGAGGGTGTAGTTTAGTGTCGACATACCACTGCATAATCGATAAATAGAAAGTATACCGATATTCGGTATTTGTAACCATGGTCATATAATTAAATACTCGATTAGAGACAAATATCTCGGTGAGCATGAGGGTGTAGTTTAGTGTGGACATACCACTACACAATCTAGAAATAGAAAGTATACCGGTTTTCGGTATGTATAACCATGGTCGTATAATTACTTGATTAAAGACATATCTAGGTGAGTATGAGGGTATAGTTTAGTATGGACATACCACTACAGAATCTAGAAATAGAAAGTATACCGGTTTTCGGTATATATAACCATGGTCATATAAATACTTGATTAGATACAAATATCTAGGTGAGCATGAGGGTGTAGTTTAGTATTGGACATACCACTACAGAATCTAGAAATAGAAAGTATACCGGTTTTCGGTATATATAAAAATGGTCATATATATACTTGATTAGAGGCAAATATCTAGGTGAGGATGAGGGTGTAGCTTCGTATGGACATACCACTACAGAATCTAGAAATAGAAAGTATACCGATTTTCGGTATATATAACCATGGTCGTATAAATATTTTATTAGAGACAAATATCTAGGTGAGCATGAGGGTGTAGTTTAGTATGGGCATACCACTACAGAATCTAGAAATAGAAAGTATACCGATTTTTGGTATATATAACCAGGGGCATGTAAATACTCGATTAGAGATATATATCTAGCTGAGCATGAGGGTATAGTTTCGTATGGACATACCACTGCAGAATCTAGAAATAGAGAGTATACCGGTTTTAACTATATATAAACATGGTCGTATAAATACTCGATTAGAGACAAATATCTCGGTGAGCATGAGGGTGTAGTTTCATATGCGCGTACCACTACAGAGTCTAGAAATAGAAAGTTTACCGGTTTTCGGTATGTATAACCATGGTCGTATAATTACTTGATTAGAGACATATATCTAGGTGATCATGAGGGTGTAGTTTAGCATGGGCATACCACTACAGAATGTAGAAATAGAAAGTATACCGGTTTTCGGTATGTATGACCATGGTCATATAAATACTCGATTAGAGACATATATCTGGGTGAGCATAGGGGTGTAGTTTAGTATGCAAATACCAATACACAATTTAGAAATAGAAAGTATACCGGTTTTGGGTATATATAACCATGGTGATATAAATACTCGATTAGAGACAT